CACACACACACACACACACACACGCACGCACGCACGCACGCACGCACGCACGCACGCACGCGCACGCACGCATGCACGCACGCACGCACGCACGCACGCGCGCACGCGCGCGCGCACACGCGCGCGACGCGCGCGCGCACGCACGCGCGCGCGCACGCGCGCGCACGCACGCACGCACGCACGCACGCACGCACGCACGCACGCACGCACGCACGCACGCACACACACACACACACACACAGAGTTCCCTGACCTTCCAGGGAGCTACTTTTTGGCACTGGAGGCCTCAACGCCTAAAAGACTGGACGAGACAGCCTAAAACCAAGACGTAGACTAGCTCTGGGATAGGTTGTTAGGTCGGGTGCTATTTTTTAGCCCTCCTGGACGGTCAGGGTGAGTGTACTCCCGTCTTGTGGTACATCGTTTCCCGAGCGGCGTGATCAGGAAGCGCCCGCCACGACGCGTGTACTGGAAGACTTCGCGGTGCGCGCGTCGCCCCTGGGGGGCGGGGGGGGGGGCGACGCACACATGGAAAAAACATGCTGGGGTGACGCCGAGGAGATCCCGACCTCCGACGACCTTGAGACGAATTTCCGATTTTCATTCGCGGCCACAGCGGTCGTGCTGGGTGGGGGAGGGGGGGGGTACGGGAGGGGGGCATGACGCAGCGCCCGCCCACTCCCACCCCCAGACAGTGGTGCTGGACGCACTGCGGCAGTGCCGGGGGCGCACTGAGGGGAGGAGCGCTACGCTGTGGAGGGGAGGAGGGGGGGGAGGGAGCATACCGCGCGTTATGGCCCAGAGGGGAAAACAAAAACACTCTCAAGCCTGGACGAGGATAACATCGGGTGAGCATAAGTTGAGAATCTCTGAGGTCCAGCGGCTGTGGATGACGTCTCGGGCACCGCGGCCTCCTCGGGGCGTGCCAGAACGCTCTGAAAGCGTTCCGGCACGCTCTGGAACGGATTGTCCTCGTCCTGGCCCCGCCCGAGATCTGGTGATGTTCACCCTGACCTTCCAGGAGGGCTAAAAAATAACACCCGACTTAAACTTATCCCAGAGCTATTCTACGTCTTGGTTTTAGGCTGTTTCGCTCTGTTTTTTAGGCTTTTAGGCCTCCAGTGCTAAAAAAATAGCTCTCTGGAAGGTCAGGGCAAGCGCGGCGCCGGCCCCCGGGAATCGTCTCTGGGCCCACGGGGCCCAGAAGCACGGGCCCTTGGGCGCAAAACTATACCCCTGGGGTACCCTGACCTTCCAGAGAGCAATTGTTTGACACTGGAAGCCTAAAAACCTAAAAAACTGAGCGCACCCTTTCGGGTATGTAAACCATACACTATTATGACCACATGTCCATCCTAAATATGAATTTACACTATCCCAGGGGAACCCGTATAGACCACCCTGAGGTTCCCTTGTAAAAAACAATACGCGGGGACATCTGTTGTTCTAACATAACACTCTTTCACGAATCCATTGCAACAAATGGGACGAAGTGCACACGCGCGCGCCGTCGCGCGCGCGCATGCCGAAATCCTCCAAAAACCTTCGGTGTCGGAAGGATTTCGCAATCGAGTTTCCAAAAAATATACAAAAAGCACAGGGTCTCGCAACACTGATTTGCTAAAAAAGCTTACGCGCGAGCTCTTGCGAAATCTTAAGAAAAACCATAGGTTTCTCAAGATTTTCACAACATGCTACCAAACGGGCTTCGCGCGCGCGCATGTCGAAATCTATCGAACGCCCTTGCGCGTGTGCCGTCGCAAAAATCCTCTGCAAAAAAAACAAAGTGCAGACGCGCGCGTCGTCGCGCGCGTATGCCGAAATTCTTCAAAACCCATCGGCTTCGGAAGGATTTCAACATCGTGTGTCCAAAAAACCTACAAAAACACAAGGTTTCGCAACACGGATTTTCAACAAAAGCGTGCACGCGTGCTCTTGCGTCGTCGTCGTTGTCCTCGTCGCCGTCCTCCCTCCTTCCGCGTCGTCGTCGTCGCCTACGTCGTCCTCTGTCTTTCCTCGTGTTCGTCGTCGTCGTCCTCTTTGGCGTCGTGGTCGTTTCCGTCGTCATTGTCGCCGTGGTCGTCCTTCCTCCTCCTCCCTCGTCGTCGTCGTGGTCGTCCGTCGTCGGCGTCTCGTCGTCGTCCTTCCTATTTCGTCGCCGTCGTCGTCGTCGTCGTCGTCGTCGTTGTCGTCGTCGTCGTCTTCCCTCCTCCCTCGTCGTTGTCGTCGTCGGCGTCGCCGTCCTTCCTCCTTCTTCGTCGTTCGCGTCGTCGCCGTCCTCCCTCCTCCCTCGTCGTTGTCGTCGTTGTCGTCGTTGTCGCCGTCGTCGTCCTCCCTCCTCCCTCGTCGTCGTCTTCGTTGGCGACGTCGTCGTCGTCTTCGTCTTCGACGGCGTCGGCGTCGTGGTCGTCTTCGTCGTCGTCGACGTCGGCGTCGGAGTCGTCGCTGCCGTCGTCGTCGTCGTCGGCGTCGTTGACGTCGTCGTCGTCGTCGGTGTCGTCGTTGTCGTCGTCGTCGGCGTCGTCATCGTCGTCGTCGTTGTCATCGTCGTCGTCGTCGGCGTCGGCGTCGTCGTCGTCGTCGTCGGTGTCGTCGTCGTCGTCGCTGTCGGCGTCGTCTAAGTCGTTGGTGACGTCGTCGGTGTCGTCGTAGTCGTTGTCGGCGGCGTCGTCGTCGTCGTTGTCGCTGTCGTCGTCGGCGTCGCTGTCGTTGCCAAGTGCCATTTGGTACCCACCGTCACGGTCTTAAGAGGTTTTGCAATGTTTTGCAAACCAAGTTGCGGGTGGGTGGGTGGGATGTTTGCGAGAGCAGTGGAGTGGACAACTCACTGCGAAGAGAAATTAATTGCACCACATAGATTGCACCACATGGAATGCATTACATGAATTGCACCACGTGGATTGCACCACATATATCGCACTACATACATTGCACCACATAGAATGCACCACGTGGAATATACCATATACATATATATATATATATATATATATTACACAACATAGGTTGCAAGCCATAGCTTGCGCAACATCGACTGCACCACCTAAACTGCACTACGTACTTAGATTCCTGCACACATCTTGTACAACATGGACTGCACCACATGGACTGCACCACATCACAGCTCGCACAACAGATATGCACAACACACAAAGCAACACACCGATTGCACCACGTAGGTTGCACAACATTGAAGTGGCCCCAGGACATACAAATTAATAAACACAAATAAAAGTATTCCCCATATTTTCCCATATGTTCGAGGTTTTTGTCTTCCCCCCCCACCATATTTTCCCATATTTTCTGGGGGATCGACGATTAATTGTGTCTGAGTGTGTTTTTCCCTCCTGAAACATACATTGCACCACCTAGATTGCACAACATGTGTTGCACCACGTAGACTGCACCGCACAAGCTACACCACGTGCACCTCTGGAAGCCATCCGCTTGGGGCCCACGCCGGCCGACACATTGTTGGAATGGTACTATGCTCCCTTTGCATAGCGCCTGCCGCCGGCTCCCCGCGCGGTGGACGTACGCCGGGCATGGTGGCGGGCGGCGGTGCGCGGGCGCGCACCTCCCTCCCCGCCCTCCCCTGACCTTCCAGGAGGGCTAGAAAATAGCCCGCGACTTCAAGACCCATTCTGCGCCTTGGTTGTGGGCTGTGTCGTTTCGCTCTCTAGGTTTTAAGGCCTCCCGTGCTGAAAAATAGCTCTCTGGAAGGTCAGGGAGGAGGAGGAGGAGGAGGAGGAGGAGGAGGAGGAGGAGGAGGAGGATGCGGAGGAGGAGGACGAGGAGGAGGAGCAGGACGGAGGAGGAGGAGGAGGGGAGGAGGAGGAGGAGGAGGAGGAGGAGGAGAGGAGGAGGAGGAGGAGGAGGAGGAGGAGGAGGAGGAGGAGGAGGAGGTCTCTGCCCCCCCCTCTCCCCGCCGCGCCCTCCGTCGCCCTGCGTCGCCCCGTCGCCCGTCCGGGGCCCGTGCCGCCTCCGAGCCCCGACGCCGGGCGCCCCTGGCGTCGGCGGCAGGCCCGCGCCGCGGCGGCCGCCGGCGGGGTGGGGCGAAGAGGCGCGGAGGGGGGGGCGGCCGAGGGAGCCCCGCGGGCTCGGGCTGGTGATGAGGGGGGGGGTGGCTTGAGTGGAGGGAGGAAGCCCCAGGTGGTCTGGTGCCGGAAAGTTTCGGTAGCGATTTCGACGCACCCCGAATTTCGGCAGCGGCCGGATCTTCGTTGGAGGGCGTGGAAATAGCGGATTTCAGAACGCTCTGATACCGGTATTGGGCGCTACATTTCGGTATTTCGGTAGCGACCGATCTCTGCGGAGCGCTACCGGAAATTTTCGGTAGCGGACCATCAGGGGTGGCCCTGAAAGGGGCCCTGTCGGGCCCCTTTTGGATCCAGAGTGGCTTCCAAAGGAGCCCTGAGGAGCCATTGTCAGGACCTCTCCGCACCCACACGTTGAAGCCAGCCCCCATTGCCACCCGCCCGCACCGTGTCGGCCGCCAAGGGGGCGGGCGAAGTGGTGCAAGCCAAGACATCCAGCTGCTCCAGTTTTTCCAATGCGTGGGCCCCAGAGGTCCAGACGGACCACTTCTCTAGGGCCGGCTTCTCGTCCAGAGTCGTCTTCTGACGCTCCCGAAGCCCAGCGAGGGCCCCCAGAGGCCGAAAACGGCCCAAAACCGCCTGCTCTATTTTTTCTTGGAGCTTTGGATCTCGGGGGGGGGCGGGCAAAGTGGTGCAAAAGTTAGGTCGGGCATGTCCCCCTTACAGACGGCTTTTGGACGAGAAGTAAAGCTCGAAAAATACCTCCAAAATAATACCTGAAAGCTAGCCAAACAAAATCGTCCCCAGACTGATGTTTTTGGCCTGCTCTTGCATCTCCCCCCCTGTAGAGGGGCACGCCCGACTTCCTGCGAGGGGCTGGCCGATGGGAGCCCCGCGGGCCTCGGCGAGGGCCCTCGCCCCGGCCGCGCGCCTCGGGGGCCCGCGGGCGCCGGGGCGGGCCTCTCAGGAGGCGCCCCGCAGGGCCTGCGCGGGCTGCGGCCGCACCAGCCGGCTGCCCCCGCTGCCCGCGCCGGCGGCGCTGGGCCGGGGGCGCCGGGGAGGGGGGCCCCAGGATCAGGCCTGAACCTGAACGGTGCTTCTCGTTTTCGTGTTGTGTTCGTTTTCCCTCGCTTTGTCTTCAATCCGCGGGCCGCTGACGGCACCACCACCTGCTTTCCGCCTCCCGGTACTCCGCCTCCGGGTTCCTGTCCAAGGCGTTCCTTTGCATGCACTTCGCTTTCAGCACCGCCTGATCCCGGGGCTTGGCCCTCTCTCGGCCTTGACGTGAGGCCCCGCCTTCTTTTTCCCTTCCTCTGTTAAATAAAGCTGTGCGCGGCCCGCTTAGCTTCGACCGGAAGAGGCTCGCTCTCGACCCGCGAATCAAACAAATTTTGTTTTCAATCCGCCTCTACAGCAAAACGAAATCGAAACGAAAACGGCCCACGAAAACGCCAAAACACCGTTTAGGTCCAGCCCCGGCCCAGGATCAGGGCGGGCATGTCCTCCTACAGGCAGATCTTGGAGGAAAAAGATAAAGGATAGTCAAAGCATAGTCAAACATAGTCAATAGAGTTATGAAGAAAAAGATAAAAGGAGATTCAACAACAAATAGAAAGCATAGTCTGCGCCGGGGAGGGGGCCCAGGATCAGGTCTTCTTCCTCTCGCGCGCCCCTGATCGAGTTGCGAACAAGTGTGCTGCCTATGTTCCGTTTGCTCTGGTTCCCAGCTTCTCTTGCGGGAAATGGCCGCGCCTCTCTCGGGCGACTTCCCACAGTTCTGGCGCGGCCCTATCTGCAGCGATCACTTCTGAGGCAAGAGCGGATTCTTCTTGGGGCCAGGATAAGGTCGGGCATGTCCTCCTACAGGCGGATTTGGGAGGGGAAAGAAAGGCTAGTCAACACAGATTCGAAAAAATCAAATTATCCCGGCAAAGCAACCTAACAGCGATGTGTAGAAGCATATCTGAAAGCATTCCCCTTAAGATTCAGATGAAAATCCAGTTGTAGAATTCTGCTGTTCTCGCAGTCGTAGTCGCATTCGCGATGACAGTCGCAGCGGCAACGGCAGTCGCAGTCACAGCCTCAGCCTCAGCCTGCCTCAGCCTCAGCCTCAGCCTGCCTCAGCCTCAGCCTGCCTCAGCCTCAGCCTCAGCCTGCTTCAGCCTCAGCCTCAGTCTGCCTTCAGCCTCGGCCTCAGCCTCAACCTGCCTCAGCCTCAGCCTGCATCAGCCTCAGCCTCAGCCTCAGCCTGCCTCAGCATCAGCCTGCTTCAGCCTCAGCCTCAGCCTGCCTCAGCCTCAGCCTCAGTCTGCTTCAGCCTCAGTCTCAGTCTGCCTTCAGCCTCGGCCTCAGCCTCAGCCTGCCTCAGCCTCAGCCTGCCTCGGCCGCAGCATCAGCCTGCCTCAGCATTCAAAATGTGGCCCAGGAATGGAGTTCTGGGAACTAGAAGAACACGAAGTGGCCTACAGTTGGCTCCGGGCATTCAAAATCATGCCCAGGAATGGAGTTCTGGGAACTTGAAGAGCACGAAGTGGCCTACAGTTGGCTCCGGGCATCCAAAATGTGGCCCGGGAATGGAGTTCTGGGAAATCGAAGAGCACGAAGTGGCCTACAGTTGGCTCCGGGCATCCAAAATGTGGCCCGGGAATGGAGTTCTGGGAAGTCGAAGAGCACGAAGTGGCCTACAGTTGGCTCCGGGCATCCAAAATGTGGCCCGGGAATGGAGTTCTGGGAGCACCAAGAGCGATTTTGCGAGGATGTCCAAAGCGATTTCGGCTTCGGCGGCAGCCTCACCGGGTCCCGCCCAGACCCCCCTGAGGAGTCATGATGCTCTCTTTTGAGACCACTAGAAACCTATCAGCAAGAGCTGTTAGGTAAAAAGTAAAGGAGCAATCGTCCCCCTCAGTCATTACTGTTCTACTGTTTGTGAATCTTCCTCCTGTAGAGGGCCATGCCCGACTTCAGACCAGGATCAGGGCTGAACCCAAACAGTGTTTCTCGTTTTCGTTTTGTGTTCGTTTTCCCTCGTTGTCTTCAATCCGCCTCTACAGCAAACCGAGATCGAAACGAAAACGGCCCACGGAATCGCCAAAACACCGTTTAGGTCCAGCCCCGGCCCAGGATCAGGGCGGGCATGTCCTCCTACAGGCGGATTTTGGAGGAAAAAGATAAAGGATAGTCAAAGCATAGTCAAACATGGTCAATGGAGTTATAAAGGAAAATATAAAAAGAGATTCAACAAAAAAAAAAAAAAAAATCCCGGCAAAGCAACCTAACAGCGATGTGTAGAAGCATATATGAAAGCATTCCCCTTAAGATTCAGATGAAAATCCAGTTGTAGAATTCTGCTGTTCTCGCAGTCGTAGTCGCATTCGCGATCACAGTCGCAGCGGCAACGGCAGTCGCAGTCACAGCCTCAGCCTCAGCCTGCCTCAGCCTCAGCCTCAGCCTGCCTCAGCATCAGCCTGCTTCAGCCTCAGCCTCAGCCTGCCTCAGCCTCAGCCTCAGTCTGCTTCAGCCTCAGCCTCAGTCTGCCTTCAGCCTCGGCCTCAGCCTCAGCCTGCCTCAGCCTCAGCCTGCCTCGGCCGCAGCATCAGCCTGCCTCAGCATTCAAAATGTGGCCCAGGAATGGAGTTCTGGGAACTAGAAGAACACGAAGTGGCCTACAGTTGGCTCCGGGCATTCAAAATCATGCCCAGGAATGGAGTTCTGGGAACTTGAAGAGCACGAAGTGGCCTACAGTTGGCTCCGGGCATCAAAATGTGGCCCGGGAATGGCTTCTCGAAGAGCACGAAGTGGCCTACAGTTGGCTCCGGGCATCCAAAATGTGGCCCGGGAATGGAGTTCTGGGAAGTCGAAGAGCACGAAGTGGCCTACAGTTGGCTCCGGGCATCAAAATGTGGCCCGGGAATGGAGTTCTGGGAGGTCGAAGAGCACGAAGTGTGTGACTGTTGGCTTAAAACGACTTCTGCGGCACCCTGTCCGGCACCCGCCCAGACCCCCCTTGTGGAGTCATCTGCTGCTCTCTTTTGACCCCACTAGAAACCTATCAGAACAAGCTGTTAGGTAAAAATTATCCCGGCAAAGCAACCTAACAGCGATGTGTAGAAGCATATCTGAAAGCATTCCCCTTAAGATTCAGATGAAAATCCAGTTGTAGAATTCTGCTGTTCTCGCAGTCGTAGTCGCATTCGCGATGACAGTCGCAGCGGCAACGGCAGTCGCAGTCACAGCCTCAGCCTCAGCCTGCCTCAGCCTCAGCCTGCCTCAGCCTCAGCCTGCCTCAGCCTCAGCCTCAGCCTGCTTCAGCCTCAGCCTCAGTCTGCCTTCAGCCTCGGCCTCAGCCTCAGCTGCCTCAGCCTCAGCCTGCATCAGCCTCAGCCTCAGCCTCAGCCTGCCTCAGCATCAGCCTGCTTCAGCCTCAGCCTCAGCCTGCCTCAGCCTCAGCCTCAGCCTGCTTCAGCCTCAGCCTCAGTCTGCCTTCAGCCTCGGCCTCAGCCTCAGCCTGCCTCAGCCTCAGCCTGCCTCGGCCGCAGCATCAGCCTGCCTCAGCATTCAAAATGTGGCCCAGGAATGGAGTTCTGGGAACTAGAAGAACACGAAGTGGCCTACAGTTGGCTCCGGGCATTCAAAATCATGCCCAGGAATGGAGTTCTGGGAACTTGAAGAGCACGAAGTGGCCTACAGTTGGCTCCGGGCATCCAAAATGTGGCCCGGGAATGGAGTTCTGGGAAATCGAAGAGCACGAAGTGGCCTACAGTTGGCTCCGGGCATCCAAAATGTGGCCCGGGAATGGAGTTCTGGGAGCACCAAGAGCGATTTTGCGAGGATGTCCCAAGCGATTTCGGCTTCGGCGGCAGCCTCGGCGGCAGCCCTTCCGGGTCCCGCCCAGACCCCCCTGAGGAGTCATGATGCTCTCTTTTGAGACCACTAGAAACCTATCAGCAAGAGCTGTTAGGTAATGAAAAGCATAGTCTGCGCTGGGGAGGGGGCCCAGGATCAGGTCTTCTTCCTCTCGCGCGCCCCTGATCAAGTTGCGAACAAGTGTGCAGCCTATGTTCCGTTTGCTCTGGTTCCCAGCTTCTCTTGCGGGAAATGGCCGCGCCTCTCTCGGGCGACTTCCCACAGTTCCGGCGCGGCCCTATCTGCAGCGATTACTTCTGAGGCAAGAGCGGATTCTTCTTGGGGCCAGGATAAGGTCGGGCATGTCCTCCTACAGGCGGATTTGGGAGGAGAAAGAAAGGCTAGTCAACACAGATTCAAAAATAATCAAAAAAGTAGAGGAGCAATCGTCCCCTTAGTCATTACTGTTCTACTGTTTGTGAATCTTCCTCATGTAGAGGGCCATGCCCGACTTCAGACCAGGATCAGGCGGGTGGCAATCCCAGAGACCCAACGCATTGAGGAGATCAAGGCGGAGGTTTTCCTCTATTTTCGGCCTCTATAGGGGCCCTCGCCGGGCCCCAGGACCGTGAAATTATCCCGGCAAAGCAACCTAACAGCGATGTGTAGAAGCATATCTGAAAGCATTCCCCTTAAGATTCAGATGAAAATCCAGTTGTAGAATTCTGCTGTTCTCGCAGTCGTAGTCGCATTCGCGATGACAGTCGCAGCGGCAACGGCAGTCGCAGTCTCAGCCTCAGCCTCAGCCTCAGCCTGCCTCAGCCTCAGCCTGCCTCAGCCTCAGCCTCAGCCTGCTTCAGCCTCAGCCTCAGTCTGCCTTCAGCCTCGGCCTCAGCCTCAGCCTGCCTCAGCCTCAGCCTGCAGCCTCAGCCTCAGCCTCAGCCTCAGCCTGCCTCAGCATCAGCCTGCCTCAGCCTCAGCCTCAGCCTGCCTCAGCCTCGGCCTCAGTCTGCTTCAGCCTCAGCCTCAGTCTGCCTTCAGCCTCGGCCTCAGCCTCAGCCTGCCTCAGCCCCAGCCTGCCTCGACCGCAGCATCAGCCTGCCTCAGCATTCAAAATGTGGCCCAGGAAGGGAGTTCTGGGAAGTCGAAGAGCACGAAGTTGCCTACAGTTGGCTACGGGCATTCAAAATGTGGCCCGGGAATGGAGTTCTGGGAACTCGAAGAGCACGAAGTGGCCTACAGTTGGCTCCGGGCATTCAAAATGTGGCCCGGGAATGGAGTTCTGGGAACTCGAAGAGCACGAAGTGGCCTACAGTTGGCTCCGGGCATTCAAAATGTGGCCCGGGAATGGAGTTCTGGGACTCGAAGACCACGAAGTGGCCTACAGTTGGCTCCAGCCTCAGCCTGCCTCAGCCTCAGCCTGCATCAGCCTCAGCCTCAGCCTCAGCCTGCCTCAGCATCAGCCTGCTTCAGCCTCAGCCTCAGCCTGCCTCAGCCTCAGCCTCAGTCTGCTTCAGCCTCAGCCTCAGTCTGCCTTCAGCCTCGGCCTCAGCCTCAGCCTGCCTCAGCCTCAGCCTGCCTCGGCCGCAGCATCAGCCTGCCTCAGCATTCAAAATGTGGCCCAGGAATGGAGTTCTGGGAACTAGAAGAACACGAAGTGGCCTACAGTTGGCTCCGGGCATTCAAAATCATGCCCAGGAATGGAGTTCTGGGAACTCGAAGAGCACGAAGTGGCCTACAGTTGGCTCCGGGCATCCAAAATGTGGCCCGGGAATGGAGTTCTGGGAATCGAAGAGCACGAAGTGGCCTACAGTTGGCTCCGGGCATCCAAAATGTGGCCCGGGAATGGAGTTCTGGGAAGTCGAAGAGCACGAAGTGGCCTACAGTTGGCTCCGGGCATTCAGAATGTGGCCCGGGAATGGAGTTCTGGGAGGTCGAAGAGCACGAAGTGTGTGACTGTTGGCTTAAAACGACTTCTGCGGCACCCTGTCCGGCACCCGCCCAGACCCCCCTGTGGAGTCATTTGCTGCTCTCTTTTGAGACCACTAGAAACCTATCAGAACAAGCTGTTAGGTAAAAAGACTCAGGACGAAAAACCGGTCCTGGAGAAGGGTTCGAGACTTCCAGGGACTCCGCACTGAAAAATACACGGAATGGTCTAGGGCTTTTGCTGTGATTCCCCACGATGTTGTATTTTTTCGCGACGGCTGATCTCAAAGAAGGCGGGGGCGCACAAGGGGGTCGGCGGCCGTCTAAGAAGGCGGGTGGGATTCTTAGGAAGGCAGACGGCTTCTTGGAAGCCTGCTCAGGCGACCCCGGGCCCCTTTTGAGAAGTCTGGGATGGGGGGTGACCCAAATTCTGGACGAGCAACACAAACCCCATCCCCACCGGGGAAACCTGGGCCCCGCTGGGCAATCTACCCCCCTGGGTGGGGATGGGTACCGTGTCGTTCGGGTTTCTGAGCACCCATCCCCGCCTGGAGGGGGTACGCTGGGAGGGCCAGCTTACCCTGCCCGTGTGGGGGTGGGGATGGTTCCGACGACGATGACAAAGGGGGGTGAAGGAAGGGGCCCTTCAGGGCCCTCTTTGGGAGCCAGCAGGCGCCAGAATGACCAGCCTCGAACGTAGCCCTATCCCTAAGATTGACACGCCAAAGGGCGATGACAATCTCAGGGACGCGCCCTGAAAAAAGTAAGGGAATCCCTAAGATTGGCATCGTGATGAGGAGATGCCCAGCATGGGGACAGGGATATGCTCCAGGCTGGTAACATATAAGGCGCCCTGAAAGGCCACTTGAGGGCCGTTCTCTCCACCCGCCAGTTGGGCCGGCGCGCAGGAGAGGGGGAACGGCTTCCTAGAAGGAGGGTGCTTCTCAGACGGCGCCGGCCCTGCACCTCCCTGATGGTCCGCTACCGAAAATTTCGGGTAGCGCTCCGCAGAGATCGGTCGCTACCGAAATACCGAAATGCAGCGCCCAATACCGGTATCAGAGCGTTCTGAAATCCGCTATTTCAACGCCCTCAAACGAAGATCCGGTCGCTACCGAAATTCGGGGTGCGTCGAAATCGCTACCGAAAATTTCCGGTACCAGACCATCTGGGTAGAAGGAGGGTGCTTCTCAGACGGCGCCGGCCCTGCACCTGTAGATCAGGCCCGCACCTTCTCGGGAGCCGCCTCCCTCTCTGCCCTCTGCGCGTGGCCGACGGGAAAGCGCTGCGGTCCTGGCGTCCTTTTGATCTCGTCGAGCCGGGCGCCTCCGCCTGGCCCGGGCCCGCTCGGGACACGGCGCAGGCAGATGGGGTCCGGAGGGCTCCCCTCGTGACCCGTTTCACGATGTGAGGGGGCCACATGCGAACCCGACCCCCACTCCCCACGATTCTGAGGGGGAGAGGGTGGGGCTCGCTTCGTTCGGGAGCTCCCGAAGGAAAAGTGACCCCCCCCCCCCTCGGAAATCGTGGGGGGGTATATAGGGGTGGGGTTCGCGTGTGGCCCCCCAGATGTTGCAGCTGCGTCGAGGCGTGGGCTCTCAGGGAGGGGGGGAGGGGGTGTAGCGCGTCGTGGCCCGAGGCGTGCGCGCGGAGGAGGGGGACAGGGGCCAGGGGGCGTGTTTCAGGAGGGAAAAAAACACACAGACACAATTAATCCTCGATTCCCAGGAAAATATGGGAAAATATGGGAATTGGGGGGGAAGACAAAAACCCAGAAAATATGAGAAAATATGGGGACTATTTTTATTTGTGTGTATTTATTTGTGTGTCCTAATTTCCCTTTAGTGTTGGAAGGAGAAAGAGGACAGGCATCTGGCGCCTCGACTCTATCGGGGCACGGGTGCCCCGACCCCTCGACCACTTTTGAGCAGGGGCCAGGCGTCGCGGCATTTCTATAGTCCTGCCACGAAATGTTCTTAGAACCCAAGCATGTTCTGGGACCCAATGTGTTAAACCAAAGCAGTCCCGGCCAGAAATGGTCTAAGAACATTTCGTGCAGACCTAAAGGGTTCTTAGAACATTGTTTGGTGGGGCTATAGGCGAGCCAGGACGCTTCGCCACTGCTTGACACTTCCCCGAGGCCGGTTTTTCGTCCCCGGCCGTTTGACAGTCCCGGGGCCTGGAACTGACCTCCAAAGGCCGAGGGTGGCGAAAAACCCGGCACCCATGCGTTTTCGAGCGTCTGGGAGGGGACCGCGACACGGGAAAGATGTCGTGCCCCCGGCCACTCAGCGACCAAAAGTTGCATACGCATGAGCTGCCGGATGTCCGCGCGGATCTCTTGCTTCGGTGCAAGGACCTCCTCCCCAAAGGGGGCGCCGGAGGCGCCGCCAGGGGGGCCAGCGCCGATCTGAGAAATCCGTGCGGGCCTCCGAAGCGCTATGCTCAACTGTGCAGCGGTTTGCTGCCCGAGACCCCGACCTCCGCCCCCGCCTGGTCCCCACCCCCCCTCGCGGACGCCCCCGAGCTGGCGGAGGGCCCAGCCGCGGCGGGCTGGGGCGCGGCGCCACCCAGCGTCCGCCCAGCCCCTGCTCGGGCGGCGGGCAGGAGGAGGAGGAGGAGGAGGAGGAGGAGGAGGAGGCCAGGCCTCCAGTGTCTTGAACTGAACAAAGTAGACACCTACAGTGCGAGCCCGAGGACTACGGCGACAGACCCTACCACATGCACTTCTGAATAGCCACAGTTGTGAATACCACCCTCGGTGGAGCTCCCAGCAGGGCCACGAAACGCGCGAGGAATGTGCCGAAACGGGCGTGGCGCCCACGTCCTCGGTGCCTCAGGGGCATTCGGTGGAGCTCCCTATGGAGCTACGAAGCGTGTGAGGGGTGTGCCGAAACAGGCCTTACGCCCACATGTGGAAGTGAATTTGAAGCTTTACGTAGAGCACCCTATGGGCCCACGAAACGTGTGAGAGGTATGCCGGAACGGGCGTGACGCCTGCATGTGGACGGTGCCTTTGGCCCCCCCGGTGGAATCCCCTTTTACAAAATGATGCGGCCACGACACGTGTGATTGGTGCGCCGAAGTGGGCACGCGGAAGGCGGAGGCAGGGATAGGAGGAGGGAGGGGGGAAAAAGGTGAAGTCAGCGACGCGGGGTGCTGCCAAGTCAAAGTGACGACCCAGAAGAACAATCTGGTTGGGAATCGTGTTAGCCAGCGTGTACCCCAAACCGCGTGTCTAGAAATCTGCGTGGTACAATTGAAGCCATGAAATCAACGTGGGGTGATTTGCGTTGTGCGATCCACGTGGCCAATTTATTTTGACTTCCTCGCGAACGACCGCCCCCCATGCTCGCGCAATCACCCCACCCACCAACACGCAATTCAGTTTGCAAAACCCATGCGGCGGTGAATGCGATTGTTGCTGCCGGGCGGTCAGCGCCACCGCGGCCTCATCGGTCGCGCCAAGTAGCTTGCCGCTGCGCGCTCGAGCATGCACGGGCTAGCGCGGTCGCAGAGATGCACCAGCCAACGCCGAGCACTCATCGCAATCGCCGCCGCGTGGGTTTCGCAATGCTTAATAGTTCCACGCGGGCCTCTCGTGCGCGTCGACCGCGCGCGAATGTCGAAATCATTTTCTGGAACTTCGTCACCGACGTGAGGGAACTATCACCGTCACCGGCGTGATCAGCATCGCCGTCGTCACTGGCCTTGCCGCTTTCATCGTCGTCATTGTCACCATTATCGATACTATCATCATCGTGTCTACCGATGTCGACGTCGCCTTCATACCGCGCCCACCCAACTCACCGACTCGACACTGAAGTGCCCGCGCGTCAGCGCGGCTTACGAGACGCGCTGAGAACTGCCCAGTGGTCAGCCCCACCGCGGTCGCGTCGGTCGCGCCAAACTCGCTGGCCGCTGCGCGCGCGAACGTGCGCGGGTTCGCGCGGCCGTTGCGATGTACAAGCCAGTTACCAGCGGGCACGTCAGTGCGAGTCGGCGACTCGGGCGGGCGGACGCGGTATCACGGAGACGTCATTAATGGTGGGGACGATGATGATAGTGGCGAAGATGGCGGCGATGATGACGATGATGACGGTGCGGCCAGTGACGACGCCGATGCTGATGACGCCGACGACGATAACGGCGCCCTCGTGTCGGCGATGACGGTTTGGCAGGAATTCGGCGCGCGCGCGCGACCCACGCGCGAGTGGCCCGCATGGCATTATTTGACAGGGGCCGCGTCTCCCCCAGATCGCCACGCAACGGCCTTCGAATGATTTCGACGCGCGGCGCTGGAGGCCCGCCAGGTCGAATTGGATGGACACGTTGGAAGCCCGTTGCTTTCTCACGAATTCGCAAGAGCACGCGTTAGAAATGCGATTTCGGGGCACTCGACGTTCACGCCCCCGCGAAAACGAAGGCTCTGGAACTCTCGCGACAGCACGTGCGCGGTGGCGCCCGAATGATTTCGACGCGCGCGCGCGAGAGGCGCGGTTGGTAGCAAAAATGGTGGCAGCGTTGAAAACTCCATGGCTTGCTTTGAAGAGTTCGCAATAATGCGACCGCATGCTTGTTTGGAAAAGTCTCGCTGCGAACCCGCGTGCATTCCGCGTGCGACCAGGGCAATTCACTTTGAAATTCTTGCGAACGCACGGTTTTAAAGAACTTCGGAATGCGCGCGCGACGACGCGCGCGCAATTTGTCTTATCTGTTGCAAGTGGTTCCCACGGCAGCACGCGCGCCTGGGCACTCGAATGACTCGACGCGCGCGCGCGCGCGCGCGGGGCACGCCTGGTCGCTTTTGATGACCACGTTGACAAGCGAATGTTAATTTCGGGGGGAATTCGAACGATCGCGAGTACAAGCTTTCTCGAACATTCCTGTTGCGGCGCCGGAGGTTTCCCCGACGTTCTCCAGGGCGCTCGATCCCGAAATCCACCCGAAAGGCTGCCGGCGGATACTGGGAAGCACGCGCGACGATTCTCGCGCGCACCTCGCCCATTTTTGCAAGGGGCCATTGGGGGGGATCTTTGAGGATGATGAAGTGCGCGCGCATTTTTCGGCTGCGAGGGGCGAGGGTGGCGTCGATGCCGGTTCGGCTGGGATCATATGAACTCACGCATCAACTCATCGATGGGGCAGAATCACGCATGAAATGCACGGCCCCGCAGGGGCGGATAAGTCCGGCCCCGGGAGGGCGGTGGATCCGCACTCCTTGTTGGGAAGAAGGATATGGGGCGCCACGCGCGCGGCGCAGCCTGTGCGGCGCGATTTACCAATGCCCGCAGCGAGTTGCCATCTCCACTGCTCGCGCAGTCGCCCCGCCCACCCGCCGGCAACTTGCTTTGAAAAAACCCATGCGGCGGCGATTGCGATGAATGCGTGGCGCTGGTTGGCGCGTCCCCGCGGCCGCGCATGCCCGCGCGCGTTCGCGCGCGCAGCGGCCGGCTAGCGCGGCGCGAACGACGCGGCCGCGGCGGCGCTGGCCGCCAGGCACCTCCCAGCGGGCACGTCAGCGCGAGTCAGCGACGCGGGCGGGCGCGGCATCATGGAAAAACGCCGACAACGGCGGACAGGATGATGCGAGTAGCGACGATGGTGACGAAGGAGCCGGTGACGACGGCAAGGCCAATGGCGGGGCCGACGTTGATCGCGCCCGCCGGTAGCGATGACGACGTCCTGACGTCGGCGATGAAGGCGTCTGACGTTCGACGCGCGCGCGCGGCCGACGCGCGCGAATGGCCCGCGCGGGGCCATCTCGCGCGGGCCGCGCCCCCGCGCCCCCCACCCCCCAGCGCGCGCGCGAGGGGGCCCCGATGAGCTCGACATGCGGCGCGAAAGGCCGCGTGCCCACGTTGGATGACAACGCTCAGAAATCGTTGGTTTTCTTACAAATCTGCAAGGGTGCGAGCGCCACCTGTTTTGAAAACTGACGCTGCAAACCACGATTTTGTCTTTCTTTTTCTCGAAACGCTCGCCGAGGACACCCCGGCGATGCCCCATTGCTTTTGAAAGATTTCGGCACGCGCGCGCGAGGGCGCGCGCGCGCACATCGCCCCAATCTTTTCAAGGGAACCTTGAGAAAACACGCGCGCAAAGGCGTTCTTGTGATTCCGACATGCACGCGCGAGTGGCCCGTTTGGAAGTTAATGAAATGCTGAGAGACCGTAACAATCTTAGAATCTGCACGAGCGCGGGCGCAATCTTTTATCAAAGCCACATTTTTGCATGATTCCAGGACGCTCGAGTATGATATCCTTGCGAAAACCCAGGTTGGCACTAGGTTTTGCGGCGCGCGCCCGCGCGACGACGCGCGCGCGCGCACT